GCATGGCTTGAATCACTAAGAGGTACCAATGACAAGGAACTGTTGATTTGCCATCTAAAAATCAACAACATCCAGAACAAGTTTGAAGAACTAGCTGCAACCATCAACAAGATAAGCGCTCATATAGTGTTTGTTAGTGAAACCAAGATTGATGCTAGCTATCCTGACGAGCAATTTTCTATCCCTGGCTACGTATTTTACCGAAATCATAGAAAAAAGGGTGGCAGAGGTATAATGGCTCTGGTATCATCTTTCCTTTCTGAGAAAAGGCTTAAACCAGATAAGCACTATAAAACACTCAAACTCATAGCACTGGAAATAAAGACTGTCTCTGGAAATATTATTCTTGGTATTTATCGTCCACCAAGATCTGTGTGCGGCGACTACCAATTACTTCTTGAAAACAAACTCCTTGACATCTGTAACTGGGCCAGCCTCCAAAGCAACACTGTGGTGGTAATTGGCGACTTAAATCTAGACAGATTGCGCCCTGACAAGCCCAAGGGGAATATTTTATTGGATTTGGAAAACAAACAAGGTTTCAAATGTTTAATTACAAAATCCACAAGAGTAGAGAATTGAGATGCAATGGTGACAGAAACTTTGATCGATGTGTTACTTAGCAATAAGCCAGAACTCTTTAAATATTCTGGAAAGTACTATCTGTTGCTAAGCGATCATGCCCTCATCTAGGGTGTCTTAAAGGAGAGACTCAATCTAAGCCTAGAATCATCAAAGCTCGGAACTGCAAAAACTTTCAGCCTAATTTATTCAAGCAAAGTCTATCAACTGCTCCATGGCACATTTGTCACCTGCTTGATGAAGTTGATGATCAGGCACACGCCTGGAATTTGCTTATGAATGACATCCTAAATGATCTAGAACCAATCAAAACCATGAGAGCCATCAGAGCAAAACGAAGGGCTATGGCAAAATTCCTGAAAAATAAAACACAAGAGAACTGGGAGTTTAACCAAAAAGCTACAAAATGAAGCAACTAAACAAAGAAGAATTGCCATCAGGGAATATTAGAAGAAAAAAGCCCAAGATCTCAAGACCAGCCCGAGAGACTTCTTCAAAACTTTTAGACTGTTCCTCAACACAAAAGGGAATGCTAAAAATGGGGAGATAAAGTTAAATTTAAATGGAACGATCATAACAGAACAGAAAGAAGTTGCTGAAGTGCCTGTCAATCATTTTGCAACAATACCTGATGGTATAGGTGGTATAGGTGCCTAGCTATTAGCAATGAACGACTTTGATAACCATCCAAGCATCCAAAGAATTCAACAGGAAAGAAAGGACTTTACTTCGATCAGTGACGTAACAT